AACCATGGAGTGACCCAGCCCGCAGCTTTCAGCCTCCTCCACAAGGATGTCACGAGAGCCTTGCTCATGGCTGGCTGGAACGCCTGCCATCCTTTTGAACAGCCAAGAGGGGACATGCGGTTATCCCGCGAGATTCTGTGGATAAGTGAACTCCAACTTGCCATTGTCTTTCTTGGGTTCTGTGCAGCACTTCTAGAGTTTCTATTAGAATGGATGTGAGACCGACTGGACTGAGCCCAAATTGGCTTTTTTAGCCCCCTTTTGTTTTAAATTAGGATGGTAATATTTATAAATGCCAGTTCTTGACATATATCATTTCACGCCACTCGGAAGAAGAGGGAGCTGAGCCTTGGGAAGAGGCAGAACTTACCCAGGGTCCCGCAGCTAGAGAGAGGCAGAGCTAGGGCTCCAAAGCCTGGTTTCCCCCAGCCTCCGTGCTCACAGGCCCAGCCAGCTGGGAGTCTGCTCTGTTGTCCCCCCTCTATCCTGCCTGCTCCCGTCTTCTTTCTTGGACAGTCTTGTCAGCCTGAGGGCGGGACCCAATCTCTGCTCCTCCCCGCGTAGCACACACAGGACCAGGGAACAGAGCAGGGGCTCTCGCTGGAAACTGCAGAGAAACGTGAGGCTCAGTATGGGGGGGGGGGCCAGTTTGCATGGCCCTTGCTCATCTGCTGTGTCAGTTTCTAATGGTTGAAGTGTTACAGGGAGGCGGCTGTAAAAGCAGGACATGTGTGGTGGAAGATAGGAGTCATCCTTGCTTCCTTCCCTTGCCCACTCCCTCACATCCAGCTCAGCAGCTATCTGTGGCGGGGCTGGCTCTGCTACCGCACGCTCCCTGAATCTGGCCAGCCCGCCCTCACCCGGCCCAGGCACCACCTGTCCGGCAGCTGCCACAGCCAGCCCACTGGGCCCTCGCTCCCCCTCCTGCTCCATTATTTTTTTTAAATATACTTTATTGTCAAATTGGCCCAGTGCTCATCCCAACAAGCGCTCTCCTCCATGCCCATCACCACTCAGTGCCCACTCAGCAGCCCCAGGACCTTTTCACAATGAGGGAAACGTCACATTGCTTTTCATCATGCTGGAGAGGAAGCCTAAAGCCCTTACCCCCGCGCCAAGGACCCAGCCTTCTCCGCCTCACTTCTCACAGTTTCCCACACCTCTGCCTGCCTCACGCCAGGCCCCTGGCCTGCCTGCTTCTCCTCAGAAACACCAGACCCCTGCCCGCCTCTGCTCTCCTCCTCCTCCTGTTCAAGGTGAAACTGATTTCTTCCCCTGTAGGATATGAATATATGAATTCAGGTCTGACCATCCCTGACCCACCAGCTGGAATAACCCCTAGCCCCACCCCAGGGCCTCTCTCACGTAACTTGGTTTGATTATCTTATTTTCCTTGTTGCTCTTTGGAAAGATCTTGCTTATTTATTTGCTCATCATCTGTACCTCCATCCCCATGAGAGTATCAGACTTGCCTGGTTTTTTAAAATTTTTTTTAAAAATTTATTTCTGAGAGACAGAGAGAGAGAGACAGAGAGTGTGAGCAGGGGAGGGTCAGAGAGAGAGGGAGATACAGAATCAGAAGCAGGCTCCAGGCTTTGAACTAGCTGTCAGCACAGAGCCCGACACGGGGCTCGAACCCACGAACCATGAGATCATGACCTGAGCCAAAGCCAGATGCTTAACCGACTGAGTCACCCAGGTGCCCCCAGACTTGCCTGTTTTGTACCCCACTCAATCCTCAGGACCAGCACCCCTCCCCCTCCTGTCCTGCCTCCTGTACACCTAGAAGATAGTAAGTGCTCACTAGTATTTGGTGAAAAAAAAAAAGAAAAATAACAGAAACACCTAAAGGAGAAATAGATACAGTTGGGTTATAGGAGCAGTTAATAATGTGTGTGTGTGTGTGTGTGTGTGTGTGTGTGTGTGTGTGTGTAGGCTTGGAATCATCTACTCTTTTAATGAGAGGCTGGGCCTGAGCCTGAAGCACTACATGCATGTACATACTTGTCACGCAGACACACAGACACACACATGCATGCACGTGCACACATATGTGTTTCCCTGCTGAGCAGCAGCATAACCTCTGGTGCAGTATTTCACCTCTTAGGCCTCAGTCACTGCACCTGTGGAACGGGGCTGCCTGGGGCTGGAGGCGGAGACCCGTGCGCCGTGGCCTCTGGAGGCCAGCCCTTGCCTGTAGAGGGCCGCCATGGGCAGTGTGCCCGCTGGCCTGCCACGCTGTGCCGGGAGGGATGAGTGAGGCTGCCTCCGCACGGGGCTGCTTCCCGCTCACCCCTGAGGTGAGGACCTCGGCCAAGCAGGAGGGAGCGGCTGGCTGGGGGGGGGGGGCGGGGCAGTAGGCAGGAGAGGCCCGGGGCCACGAGCTCTGCTGCCGGGAGGTTAGGTTACGTGCACAGGCCGGGTCTCTTGGATGGACCGGTAGCTTGACTTTGATACGTTTTCATTTTCATGTGCGTGCTTGCTTTTAAAAAAATATTTCAATATATTTATTTTGTTTCTTGAAATTTTTTTCTTTCAATTGCCACAGAAAGAATTTTTGTGAAATTTAAAAGGGAACACACACACACACACACACACACACACACACGCATCTGTATTTTCACCAACCCAAGACAATGGCTCTCCCTCCCCTCCTTCTTGCCCACACTGGAACCTTGCAGAACCTGTGGAGAGTAGAAGGGGCTTTTGACCTTAGACAAGGTACTTCATCTCTCTGTGCCTTAGTTCCTTGTGTAGAAAAGGTAAGGGCACCATTGTTGCTCCCCCTTACAGTTCTTATGCAGATTACATGAGTCAACATTTATAAAGCACTTAGAAAGGTGCCTGGCACTTGGCATGTGTTTGTTAAATAAGAGGAGTAAATAAATGGAAAGAAAGGGACTCCCATAATGCTGCTGTCACGGCATGAAGAGCAGCTGTGGACGTCTGTCCTTAGGGTCCGAAGTCAAGAGCTCAAGCCCAGACTCTGCCCTTACTCCCCATGTAAGCAGGAGCACCTATGGCTTCTTTAAGACTCAGCTCCTCCATCTGTAAAATGGGTATATAATCTGCACCCTATGATGCTGCGACCCGGGGTGGGGAGTAACGGATGCATGTGGGCTCAGTGAGCATGGGGCCCCGCAGGCTGCTGCAACCCAGCCCCCACCCTCATCCATCTTCTCAGTTTTCTTGCTCAATATTGTTATAGCTCCGTGTTGCTACCAGCCTCTATGTTTATCATTTTTAATGGCTATGTGATATTCCATTGAGCAGAGGTGTCGTGATGCACTTTGTCATCTCTATTTTGGGGTGTTTAGGCAGCTTCCAGCATCCTGCTGCTATAAATAACCTTTCCGTGAACATCGCTGTGCCTGGAGCACTTCCCCTCTGATGGATGATGTCCCCAGGCAACTCCAGTGACATTCACTGAGGCTGCTTCATCAGGAGGACTGAGGGATGGGGTGGTGGTGCTTGGAGAGGTAGGTCCCCTCAAAGCCAGATCTCCTGCTCCAGGAGTGGCAGCAAGGGTATCAGGGCAGCGAGACACTCAGTGTGGCAGCGATGAGCATGACGGCAGAACAGGAGGCCGCCATGGGGCTGACAGTGGGACTAGGAGCTTCTGGTTTTTCCTTTGTCTCCCTGTCACTCTCACGCACTCTCTCTGTAGGACCTTGAGCCAGTCCCTTCCTTTCTCTGGACCTTAATTTTCATCATGTGCGGTGGCCAGGGGCTGAAAAAGGCTTGCCCCAGAGCTGTGCCGTCCCTGGTGGTGACCGCTAGTCATCTGTGGCTATTTTTATTTAAATATAAAGTAATTAAGGGGAGCCTGGGGGGCTTAGTCATTTGGGTGTCGGCTCTTGATTTTGGCTCAGGTCATGATCTCACAGTTCCTGAGTTTAGGCGCCGTGACAGGCTCCATGCTGTCAGCACGGAGCCTGCTTGGAATCCTCTCTCTCTCCCTCTCTCTCTGTTCCTCCCCGGCTCACACGTGCTCGAGCTCTCTCTCCCTTTCTCTCTCTCAAAATAAATAAAAAATAAACTTTAAATATAAATATACATACACACAAACACACATATATAGACATTAATTAAATACAACTTAAAAATCAATTTCTTAGTCATACTCTCCATGTTTCACCATCCATTTGTGGCTGGTGGCTACCGTATTGGGCAGCACAGGTATAGAATGTGCCCATTGTTGCGGAAAGCTCTGTGGGATGGTGCCGGTCATCATACCTTCTTCTGGAACCAAGAAGAGGGCAAACAGCCCTTAGCTCAGAGGACTCATTAAGGGCCTAACAAGACTTAGTGACTTTCCACAGTCCGGGACCCGGTAGTGACTAGAGTCTGAAATATCCATGTCCTGTCTTTCTTTCCAAGAGAGAAGCTGGGTGAGAGTGTGGGCCCCGAGAGGGTGGCCCCAGCCAGGGACAGTGCCCCAGGGAGGCCGGCATGAAGACAGAGTAGGTGGTCTCCTGATTCCTCAGCCGGGAGGGCAGTGGGTAGACAGGTGGCACTGCTCTCCGGTTCCCTGGGGTGAAGCACTGTCCTCTCTGGATTCTTACAGAAGTCTAGACTAGAGAGCAAAGATGGCCGCCTCACCCATCTTGCCCCGCGCTGGCTGCCTCGGGCCCTAAGCCGGGTTCTGGGCACTCACTGGGAGAGGAGCTGTGAGAAGTGAACCCACAGCACCAGAAGAAGCTACTTCCCTCCCCACCTCCACCGGGCACACAGGGCACACACGCTCCAGCCACACCTGCCCCCACGTCTCCCCCTCCTGCCAGAGGGAACACCTTCAGCTACCCCTGGAGGTAGCACAGGGGGAGGGAGAGGTGCCAGTGCAGGGGACAGTAAATAGGGGAAATGAGTGACGAGAAACCTGGCTGGCTTTGGTCTCGCCTTTGCCGACGTGTGGCTGCCTTCTGTGCTACCCCCGTGCCCAATGCCCCTGTGTCCCCATACGAACCCTACTGCTCACTCTTGTTTCTTCTGTTTTCCAGGGATCCCATGGCCATGTCCTGGCTGTTTTGAGTCTGTGAGGCCACACAGCCTCCCACCTGCATCTCCGGGGCTCTGTCCCTGTCCAGCCTCCCGACCAGCTTCTGAGCCTACTCCTCACCCCTGCCCAGGGACGCCTCAAGCTTCAGGACTCAGTGGGGCACAGTGGCAGTCACGGTAGGTGGCGACCCCACTCTGCTCACTCCTGGACTCCTGGGGATACTTAGCTCAGCCTTCTTGGTCTCTGGAATAGGAAGGATACCTTTCTGAACACCGAATCTGTCAGAATCCCTTCGGTTGCAAGTAGCAAAAAAACTTATTTCAATAAAATAAAATTATCAGCTTATGTGACTGAAGTATCCAGAGGTAGATGGGACTGCAGGCAGGGCCTAATCCAGCAGTTCAAGCAATGTGACCAGGACCTTTTGTCTGCCTGCATTTCCCTGCTCCTCGTCCTTGGTGGTGGCGCCAGCTTTACGAGCATTTCCCGTGACGTCACAACATGCCTGCCCATGGTTTCTGGGGCAGTGTGCTTCCAGCTTTCAATCTGGTGTCAGGGGTGGAGACAAACTTTGTTTTCTTGATAAAACAAATAAAAGCCCTGGGGTTGATCTCTTGGGCTCTACTGGCAGGATTTGGAACATCCTGACCCCTTTAGCTGGGTCCACACGTCTTGGAAACATAAAGGGACTGGGGATGAGGGTCTGTCCTTCCCCAGCCATGTGACCATGAATGAGGGGAGGGTGTTTCCCAAAGGAAGCTTGGGGGTCCTGCTGGTGGAAGGAGTCACCCCCGGCTGCGGGAGGCAAATAACAAGTGATGGGTGGGGTCTCCCCAGCTTGGACAGCTTAAAGCCAGCTGCAGATAGATACAGATATGCTGTGTGTCCTTGGGCAGATCCCTATGCCTCTCTGAGCTCAGTTTCCGTATCTGATGTTGAGCCTCACCTGGCAGGCATGCTATGAGAACTGCCTGAAATGATGTGTGGGAAGCACTGGCGTCTAGCAGGTGCTCAGGAAATCCTTTCCTCTTCCCCTTCCTTTTCCCTCCTGGGGAGTTTAGAACACCCTGCTTCCCTTCAAACTTGGAAGGAGCTACAGAGGGAGTATTGTAAGTCAGGATCCCTAGAAGCAAAGTCTGAGACTGGGATTTGTGAATGTGAGACTCATTGAGGGCGGGCTCTCGGGAAGAAGAGAAGAAGGTGGGGCAGGAACGAGAGCCCTGTGAGCGAGGTCTTGGTCTCAGGGCAAGTCTCGCCTTGGGCTGGTCCAGGGGGCCCTGGTGTAGAGTTGACACAACAGAATTGTCCCCTAGACAAGGTGGCCAGGCTTTTGTACCCCTGTGGGCCATGCCTGCGGTGTCTGTGGCTGGCCCTCATTTGCAGAGGGCAGTTCTCTGGAGAAGGGGGCGCAGTGAGCTGGGGAGGGGCTCTGGGCAGGCACCACTTAGTACAGGAAGGCAGGACCCGTGTCCTTGGCCTGGCCAGTCCAGGTGCCCTGCTCTGCTGCCTCCTCTGGCTTTTGCTCCTCTGGCCCCAGACAGCAATGCCAGTCCCTTCCAGCCTGGGGAGCTGGGCTGCCCAGCCTGGGGCCTGGTGATAGGGTGGCCCTTCGTCATCTTCTTTCGAGACACTTTTTCTACTCCAGGCCTCCGTGTCCTCTCTGTGCCCCCTTCCTCTTCTCTAATCATTCTTCTTTCCTCCCTTCAATTTCAGTCACACAGTTCCCCTACCTACTATGCCCTTCCTTGCTCTCTACTCCATCTTCTTTTTCAGGGCCTGTGTGAGTCCCTTCCCCTCCAGAAAGCCCCTGCTCGCTGCTCCAGCCAGTGTTTATCTCCTTTAGTCCTTCCTCCAGCTCCACCCTTTTTATGGATGGAAAGGCCAAGGCTCAGCGCACACTTCCTCATGAATACACTGTGGGCTCCTGTGGCAGTGCCCGAGTGTGTTGCTCTCTTTGCCTTGGCTGCTAGGAAGCTCACAGCTGGTTTGTTGGCCATTTCTGATAAGTGCTGACAATGTTGGAATACATACAGTTGCTCAGTCGCCTTCCCTCTGACTTCTCATTTTTTTCCTTTTTCTGATTTCTTATTTTTCAGCTTGCGCTTTCTCAGCAGCCTCAAATTCTTCTAGAAGGTGGTGGGGTATAAGAAAAACAAGAGCAGCCTTGGTTAAAGCATTCATCCAAATACTAGACTTTCCTCTTCGTAAGGGCAGCTTGGGTGGGAGGGTCTCCCCAGGCCTAGGGCTGAGCCTGTCCCCAGGGAGACACCGAAGCCTGACCACGGCAGCCCCGGCATGGTGCCCACCCTGCCCTCCGTGCATCGGGAATGACATTGTTCTGCTTCCTACCCTTTTCCCTCCCCCTTTCATCTTATCAGAAGCTAATGAAAGAGGCTGGGAAACCCAATCCTCTGGTAATTAAATTTACTTAACGGGTATTCAAGTGGAGTAATGAGAAGTTTAATGCAGTGATTAGATTTTTCTTTAATTAATTAAAATGAGAACCATGTGTCTTGCCAGCAAACCAACTTGACCCTGTGCTGGAAGAGTCGCAGCCAGGAATGGGGCTTGGCGGCGTGGCCAGGGGCTGCAGGCTGGTGCAGCCCCCTGCCCCGGCACTGTTGCTCTCAGAGGGGAGCCTGGCTTGGATTCCCACCCAGGCCAGTCTCGGACCCAGCTCCCATCCCCGAGCCCTGCGACCGCCAGGACTGGGCCAGGCCCGAGTCTCCCAGGGCCAAGGGATCCAACAGTCTGCGTGCTCAGGCAGCTGAAAGTGGACCCAGAACGGAGGTTTCAGAGGGGGATCGGCAAGGGCGGCTCAAAGCAAGGAGCATAGAGGGATTTCAGAGACTGTGACAGATGGCATTTTGGGATCACATTTCAATGCATGGGCCAGTGGACAGCTTCACCTGCGTGTTGTCAGACCTGGGTTGACCTCTGTTGGCTTTATCAGGGCTAATGGAGTGAGGGCAGTGGGGTGGATAATCGAGAAATCTGAGATAACCCACAAACCTCTTCTCCTTGACTCAGGAATGCAGCGATGCCAGAAGAAGGCTGACCATCCTTGGTGTGTTTCTGAAGGCCAGTTAGGGATGTAAGGAAGTATTCCCCCCACCCCCGCCCCGGGCAGCTTCTGCGGGGGAGGGGGGGTCAGGTGGTGGCTGGGGTAACGGGAATATGGGAATCCCAGCATAGCTGTCTGGGGTGGAGCACAGGAGGGGCCTCACCAGGGTAGAGGGTGGGCATAATGAGGACCGAGGAGACAGCACCAGCACCCCAGGGGCAGAATATTTTGTTTCCAAGCAGTGAGGCTGGAGGGAGTCCTGAGCCCTTCATGGTGGGGAGGCAGAGAACTTCCTTTATTGAGCCCTGACCCTACATCTACATTGAACCTTGATCCCAGTCCTAGACTGAACCCTGACCCCAGCCCCACACTTAGCCCAGCGTCGCCATGGATACACCAGCTGAGTAACAGGTGCTGGGATGGGAGGGGTGAGGGGCCGTATTTGTCCATCCTCACTGCCAGCCCCCCTGCCTGTGGGCAGGAGTCCTGTGCCAGGCCCCTCACTAGTCTCTGCAATGGCCAAGATGAGTCAGACGTGGTCCCTGCCCACAGGGCCGGTGGGGGAGGTGACAGGCAAACAGGCACTGAGTGATCAGAGCTGAGGTGGGGGAGGCCCAGAGGGCTGGGGGCCTCGGATCTGCACTAAGAGCTTCCTCTGAAGGCAGGTGGGAGGGGGAGGTGCTGGAGGCCCGCAGTGGGGAGGCTGACACTGGTCCAAAGGAGGTGAAGAGGATGGTGTCAGTGGGGGCCGGCAGGGGTGCTAGGGTGAGCGATTCTCCCCATGAGAACTGGCTGTGATGCCCCCAGGCCATCCTTAGCTCTGGGTGGATCAAGGGACTCATGTGTGTGTGTTGGGGGGGGTTGATGGGGTGCCCGGCACTGGGCTGATAACATTACCTTATAAGGAAAGCATTTTTATCTCTTGCATGGAAGAGGAAACAAGGTGTGCAGGGACTGGCCTGTAGCAGCGGGGTGGGGTGTGCTCCCAGCCCTCGCCTCCTCCCAGCCCTGCACAGGCCTTTCTGTGGGTCTGCAGGGGAATGAACTTGCCCTGGGGGGCAGGAGTCATCTTCTGACTTCGCCCCTGGGCAAATACAGCCCCGGCACTGGTGGGGGCTGGGGGTTTGGTCAGACCAGCATATGCTGGCGCAGGAGGAGGGAGTGCGGGAAGAGATGAGGGTCCCATCTGGTAGGGGATTAGCCCCAGGGAGGAGGGTCTTCTGCTTTCTTCACCCCGACTCCCTCCTCTGCTAATGTCTCCCTCTAGATTCCTCTTCCAATTCTCTTCTTCTTTCCTTTCTGAAAAGCCAGGCGTAGGCCAGCTGCCCGCAGCTCCCATGCGGGGGAAGGACTGCTCAAGACCGTGGGGCTCTGCCTCTCATAGGTCTTTAAGGTAAAGGGTCTGAAATCACATTGTCGTGAATGTAAACGCAAGGATTGCATTTGCTTACTTTTCCTGGCCCCAGGAAGTCCATGCTGCACAGGAAAGTTTATGCTGCACAGGCAGAGCTCCCCGGGGAGCCACCCCTCTGTCCCAGGTACCGTACTCCCCCAGACGTGTTCATCTTGCCTCCCTGCATTCTGGTCTCATTTAGTCCTCTCAACAGTCCGCGAAGTTATTTATACAGGTGAGGGGACCAGGCGAGGTCAGGAACTAGGCCCCAGTCACACGGCTAAGGGCATAGGTGACGCTTGTCTAACACGCTCAGATCCTAGGTCAAGCCACCCCTCCAGATTACCCCCACCTCGCCTCTGGGCAGTTCCCCTCCCTCCCTCTGTCCCCAGCCCTCCCTCCAACCCCTCTGCATCCTTGCTGCATCTTCCAGCCAGAACCAAGGACTCTTCCTTCCCCAACACTCCCTCACCCAGGCCCTCCAAGCTGTTCCAGCCCCCTGGAGTCCCCCACCCCACACCCCTGCCAGCTCCATCTGCCCCAACCCCCTTCATCTTCCTAGGCTGGGCCCAAATGATGCTACTTCTTTCATGGAGACACCCTGTCTGCTCT